CGCTGTAGTTTGTACAATGTCGCCCTGTTGGGACTGCCCCTGCTTGTCGTCGTCCATTTGGGAACTGTACGTACACCCCAGCTCCTCGTCTTTTCACAGCATCAGTGGCAGATCCGTCTCTATAGATCCTTATCCATGCTTCTCGTGGGTATCTTTGTTCAAGCATGGACAGGGTGAGGGACTTCTTGCTCAGGTCGCTGTTGTCATTTTTTGTGGAGAACATGGGAATGGATGTGTGTTAACTTATGTTTGTGTTTTTCTTTTCCCTTGATGGTGCCTCTGGGGTATGGTTCAGCATGTTCACTGTTTCTGGTAGATGGTCCTGTAGGAATCTTTGGGGTTTTTTGCTTTCTTTGGTGAAGTTGGATCTTTTAAGTCTTGTGGTGTTTGATCTGGCTGTTCTTGAGTGCAGTATATGATCCTCCATAGCTGTGGCCTTGGTGTACTGTATGAGGACCTTGCATTCCCATCTCCTCTGCAGGGCCACTATAGATGTTGTTTGTTCCATCTTTTCTATAGGCGTTGACCTCATTGCTCCAGTGATTATTCGGAAAGCCTGGTTTTGCACTTTTTCCAGAGTGTATTTGTGAGTCTGTGCTGCAGTCTTCCATGCGCTGGATCCGTTCTCGAGATGGGGCCTGATTGCACCGAGATAGACCTGTCTAAGTGTTTTCTCATTTGCTCTCCACTGAGTCCCTGCTGGTTTTGTCATGATGTTAAGTTTCTTCCTGGCTTTATTTTCTGCATTTTGAATGTGTTGTTTCCAAGTGAGACGCTTGTCAAAGATAATTCCGAGATACTTCTGTTGATTTTCAAACTTCAGGGGGGGGAGGGGTTGTCTAATGTGAGGTGTTTTGGCTCAGCCTGGCTGAGAGTGAAGAGTGTAGCAGAATACTTTTCTTTGTTTACGCATACACTCCAGTTTTTTTGTCCATGTAGAGAGTTTGTCCAATACTAGTTGCATGCGATATGTGGCAGTAGTGACGAATTCCTCAAAGCACCAAAGAACCAGGTCGTCTGCATACAATGCGGCATGTATTCCTTTGAGCAGTTCTTTCATGGGGTCATTGATGAAGAGGATAAAGAGCAAAGGTGACATGACTCCACCTTGGGGTACTCCTTGTCGCAGCAGTATTTTCTGTCGGTGATGATGATGATGATGATGCTGATAATGATACTGATAATGGTGATAATATTAGTAATAATGTAAGTAATAATATTTGTAAAATAATAATGATAATGACAATGATAATAACAGTCGATGATGATGATGACATTCGTGATGATAATAATAAGAATAAAAATAATAATGATGTTACTACTACTACTACTACTACTACTACTACTACTACTACTACTACTACTACTACTACTACTACTACTACTACTGCTACTGCTATTTCTACTGAAATAGTGTTTGTATAGCGCATATTCACACTGCAAGCTCTATGCGCTTTACAATCTATTTCATACCCCGGCAGACCCTATAGAAACATCCTCGGCTTCCCGGAGAGCATACAGTGCAATCAGCCGAATAAGCACCCAGACACTAACAAATTGATAAGATCTTTCGCTGCCTATAGCTTGGTACCTATTCACACGTGTGAAGTCAGGAAAATTTGCGTTAAGTGCCTTTATCAAGGACACATCGTCGGGGATCCCCGGCGGAGTTCAAACCAACAGCCTTTCGGCTGCGAGCCCAACAGACCGACCCCTTGGCCACCGGCTCCTCAAGTATAAAGTTATCTGCCCGTCTGTCTGTCTATCTGTCTGTCTGTCTCGTCTTTCAATGGGTCTCTCTATATTTTTTGGCTATTTCTCTGCTTTGTTGTCCGTCTAAACCTCCATCTGAATGCCCATCTGCTCGTTTGTCTGTGTGTAAGCCTGCCGTTGTATAAGTCTGTCCATCTCAACGTGTGTGTCTGTGTGTGGTTGACGATGAAGTTTGGTCACGGGATGTTTGGACTCCGTGATGATGATGATGATGATGATGATGATGATGATGATGATGATGATGATGATGATGATGATGGGTAGAAAAATGAAGAGTAGGAGGGTGGGGAGGAGGAGGGGGAGGAGGAGGAGGAGAAAGTGATGATGATGATGATGGTAAGGAAATTGATGATGATGTGGAAAATGAGGAAGAGGATGGTGCTACTGCTGCTGCTGCTGTTGCTGCTACTAATGATGATGATGATGATGATGATGATGATAATGATGATGACGATGATGAATATTTCGTGGTTTTGCAACAAAGCTTATTCTATAATCGAGACTTGGAAGTCGGGGAGGTTGTGGGGGGGGGGGGGGCTCTTAGTTACTCTACGGAGGCTGTGAAGAAGATCTTGTTTTACAGCATGAGCGAACACTTTCGTCCCGTAATTACCGTGTATTTAGTGAGTTTATCGCCTTATGGTGATGAGGCTGCTGCCATGGTGACGAGGACAAAAAAGAGGGCGATTGACAAGCGTTTTGTCTCTCGAGTATACCCTGTAAACTCTCATTATTTGTCTATTGACGTCAATCGGTTTCTGTTGTGTAAAGGGCTCTTTGTGCCATGGGCTTTGTCTAGTGGCATCTCCGTTGTTCCATTCCACCAATGGGAGGACAAGTCCAGGTGACGCCTTTAGGAATTTCTGTTGTTCAAACTCTCGAGGAGGATTTTATTTTTCAAGTCTTTAAGAGCTTTCCCCTCTTTGATCACCCGAGAGATTCCGCTGATCGGATTTTCCCGTAAGCTGATGGGGCGGCGCTGTGCGCTGTGGGGGAGAATTAATGAGCTATTTTTCTTCATTAGCCAACTTCTGCTCGGGGCGTTCATGTGTTAGATTTATGGGAATTTCTCATATTTTTTTAGCCTTTGCTTGATAGAGTGTTTGTAGGAAATTTGTTGTCGTGGGAGTAGCGGAGAGCATGTGGTGTCATGTCATGGTACAACATCCCCGCCTCCGGAATGTTTGCTTGTCAATAAAATGTTGTCCCGCAGCAACCGGTTTTTGTACACCTGAAGTGAAATTCACTCTAAATTAGCAGAACAGAAGACTCTCTAAGGACAGAGTCTATTTGGAGATACACTACCCTCCCCCCTCCCCTCCCTCCATACCCCACCCTCCCAAACACAGAACAACCCCACCCCCACCCCAATCCCCCACCTAAAAAATAATTGAAAAGGTTCACGGTCCTTTGTTGTTACTTTTACGTATGGTTGTTTATTGTTCTTTAATTCAATTGTTTTAATTGTTTGTTTTCTAGGCTGTTGTTGTTGCTGTATCCCCATGAGAGCTCTCAAATGTTGGAAATTGTTCTCAGCTACGGAGTCCATGTGTGTTTGTGTGTGTGTGTATGTGTGTGTGTGTGTGTGTGTGTGTGTGTGTGTGTGTGCTTGTTTGTGTATGAGTGTGTAATTGTGTTTGTGTGTGTTTGTGCGTGCATGTGTGTGTGTGTGTTTGTGTGTGTGTGAGAGAGAGAGAGA